ACGCGTCTACGGATGGCGGAGGAGGCCGAAGAAGTCCTCGCACTGCGGCCGCCTGTCGCCCTGCTGGAGGCGCCCCACATATATTCTCACGTCAATGTGCTACTTTTAGTTTATCTAGTATCGTTATTCTTTCACACACAGACACACACACACATATATATGTATACACACACACACACATATATATATACATATACATATACATATACATATACATATACATATACATACATACATATATATATATATATACATATATATATATATATATATATATATATATATATATATATATATATATATATATATATATATATATATATATATAAATGAAAGCGAAAGCAGACCAACTAGCAAACAGCCGCCGAATCGACGACGCCTTTGCAGCAGGACAGGAATCTCGCTCAAGACGGCTTCCCGCGGCGCGCTCTGCGTCGCCTCCAGCAATCCGCACTCAACAGTAATTATATTATTATTTCATAGTCGATTGAAAGCCCGGTCATTAAGCTTTGTCGTCCCTCTTAACATTTTCATAGCGACATGCCATTAATCATGTTGCTGTTAATCTACATAATGCTAACGCGATTTTAGAGATGGTTTGGCAAAAAAAAAGGAAAAGAACACAAAGAGAACAGGAGAACACGGAAGCCCCGGGTGATGGAAACCGTGCGGGTCAGAAAAGCGAAGAGAAAGAGCAGGAAGGAAAGAGGGAAGCGGAGGAGAGAATCAAATACGGTGCGAACGGAAAGGAAGGAGCGAGAGGAGACTAAAGGTTGTAAAGAGTAGACACGCACACATACACAGATACGCACACAGACACGCACGTACACAAAATAGACACATTCACGTGTAATTTCAAACAGAAAGACGATAAAAAACGCCTCTTTCCACATAATTCTCATTTCACAAATAAAATACCTTTTCAGACCAAACAATAAATTCTAGTTTTTTTGTTCTTTCTAGTTTACAGTACATGAATGTCTAACATGTAGTTTAATTTGTCTCTGCTATCTACGTTGAATATTTTTCTTCTTTTTGGCTACAGGGAATACTTGACAATTTTATGGACCTTTCCGCCTTTTTTAAAAAGATTATTATAACTAAGACACACACACAGACACACACACAAACACACACACACACACTTTGTATGTGTCGCTTGGACACACAGGCAGCCGAAAAATTCTGAGGTGGAAATAAATCTAATTTATTATTTTTTTCGCTGACTCTACTTGCTTCACTCACTGTCTATCAAAATTATCTATAAATGGGTAGAAACTCACAAAAATAATAAAATTCAGGAAAAAAATCTGAACAGCGGTTATTAATAAATCTTTCATTGGATAAAGAAATTTAACACTCTCACTCTAATTCTATTTATCTCTACTTTCCCACTCTCCCCAACTCTTTACTTTCTCTCCCTCTCGTTTCATCTACTCTTCTCTCTCTTTCCCTTTCTCGCTCCTCCTCCCTCTCCCTTCCTACCAATCCAAATCCCTCTCCCTGACTCTCCTTCCTTGTTCTCCGCCCATTCACATTCCCACTCTCACTCCCTCTCATTTTCTCTCTCGCCACCCTATCCTCCATATCTCACACACATTCTCTCCATTTCCTTCATTGTCTCCCTCTCCCCTTCTCTCCTTCCTTCCCTTCCTCTCTCTTTCCTACCTCCCCCTCCCCTTCCTTCCCTTCCCTTCTCTCCTTCCTTCCCTCCCTCTTCCCTTCCTTCCCTCCCCCCTCCCCTTCCTTCCCTCCCTCCCTCTCCCTTCCTTTCCTCTCCCCTTTCCTATTCCTTCCCTTCCTCTCCCCTTCCTTCCTTCCCTCTCTCTCCCCTTCCTTCCTTCCCTCCTCTTCCCCTTCCTTCCTTCCTTCCTCTCCCCTTCCTTCCTTCGCTCCCCCTCCCCTTCCTTCCTTCCTCCCTCTCCCTTTCCCATTCCTTCTCTTCCTCTCCCCTTCCTTCCTTCCCTCCCTCTCCCCTTCCTTCCTTCCCTCCCTCTCCCTCCGCCCCGACGCGCATGAGGCCCCATTCACTCCGTCTGGATCACGTTTGCTTGACTACGCATTACGCGCATGCATGTCCGCCTTTCAGCCTTCCTCCAACCGAGAAGTTCACAGGACTATTAAAGTTCACTCGTAGGAGAAATACAATCGGATACATCAGTGTTCAGTAACATTTCCTGTGCTAAAGTTATCCGAAATCCTCTGTTCTTACACATAATTACCGTGCATTCGTTTCGGTTGTTTTTTGATAAAGAAGGAAGAAAAAAGAAGAATGAAGATTCGTCCCACTTCGACCCCGAGTGGTTGCAGAAGTTCTGTGCTCCTTGAGACGAGCGCCACCTCTTACCTAAGTGTATCTCCTCGTTGTTCTTGTACCAGCGGACCATCGCGACGGGCTTGGCGTCCTCCACCTGGCACTCGAGGGTGATTTCTTCGCCTTCGTTGACCTCTATGACCTCCTCGCGGCCTCGTCCCAGGAGTTCGATGCTCGTCGGAGCCACTGTCAAGGAATAAAAGGGAAAGGTGAGTCCAACTTCTCGAGAGGGCGAAGAAAAAGAAACAAACCTTGTTTCTCCTTAATATCTGTAAGCGGGAAAAAGATATATTGTTCTTCGTCTGCTACTTTCCGTTTCGAGAAATTTCATAAATAAGCGAAGTAACCCGAGCGAAACCCGAGGCCCCGAGATCCTCGGGAAGCATAAAGATCTTCCGATATTAAACTGACGCAGCTGATACCAATCATCCTTGAGGTAAAACACACCTGAAAAGAAGGCATAAATATTCTTGATTACGAGAGAGAGGAGGTATGAGAAGACCGGATCGATCGCCGAGTCACGGAAGGATGGGAGCGCGAGAAGAGGAGACGGACGCAGGATACAGCGAGGGAGGAGATTGGCGAGTTCGGCAGAGCGGAGAGCGATGGCCAGCGTTCCAGGCCGGGTTTTCCATCCCGCCGGGAATGGAAAAGGAAATCGCGAGGGAGAAAAGATGAAAGGCTGGGGAAAAAGTGGGATAAATACTCTAGAATACTATATTTCGGAACAGAAAGAGAGAAAAAACAGTTTCCGTGAAAACCAATCACATGTATAAAAAAAATCAAATATCGATATAGTACGTTTCTTTAAGCAAACTATACGGAAGAAATGTCCGACAAAGATATCAGTCTTTTAAAAATCTCGTAAAACTCAGAACGAACAATAATTACCATGAAGAGAGAAATAAGACAAAAGTTCTCTAATTAGCGGTCGGTAAGCATTATGTGAGGCCGGAGAAAATGCTTCTGTGCCGGGACGAAAGTTGTGTTGAGCGAGCATCAGGGCGCAGATAACCCGCGCGCATATGTTTATATCTATCCGTGTGTATTATGGAGAGGGAGGGAGGAAAGTAGGGAAGGAAGGGGTTGAAAGAGGGAGGGAAGGGGAGGGGGGAGGGAGGGAGAGAGACGGAGGGAAGGAGGTAGGGTAGGTAAGGGGGAGGAAAGGAAGGTGGAAGAGCGCAAGAGGGAGGGAGTCGTTGAAGAACGATTGGAGCAGAGAAGGAGAGAGTAAACAACAAAGAGACAGAGAAGAGCTGCCGGAACTAGCAGAAAGTGAGTTAGTTCCGCCATTCTCCCGGCAAGGGCAAGACCGTCCCTCCCGAGTCCTGCAGGGGAGGCAGCAGCGGCCCCCTTCGTCACTCCCCCGGGGTGCCCCTTGAGTGATCACATTCAGCACCCGCTTGCGTATTGACTGACGGAGGAGGGCGGAGAGGCAGGGTCTAAGAGGCAGCAGAAGAGCCCAGAAGAGGCTACGACCTGGATCTCATATAATTGTTTTGGTAATGAGATTAACTAGCGAGTCGCGGTGTGCGAGAGGCGAGAGGGGAGACGAGGGGATGTAATCGAATTCAACTCCATAGCAAGTAGAAGGTTCAGATGATGGCGATCGCTGTAGACACACTCCATTCCCCTGCCTCTTATCTCCTCCTCTTTCTTTACCCTCTCTTCCTGTTCCTCTTTGGCTTTCCATTTTCTCCTTCCCGCCCTTGCCAATCAACATTTATCAGATTCACGCTCTAAATTTCTGACTATTCCGACACTTCTAATTCATTTTTTTGTCAGATGGCATTATCAAGAAACTTTGCCAGTTGGTCTCCTTAAACGCCCTGAAAAAAGATCTCTTAATTCCTTCATGGCAACTCATGAACCTCGTGACGTCACCTCGCAATTCTGTCATGACCCCTTTTGTGCAGTAAGGGATGTATCTTTGCTGTATTTGATTTATTTCTAACATTATAATAATATTCATTATTATCATTTCAATTATTGGAATCATTTTTATTACCATCATCATAATTATAATTATGATGATTATTATCACTATTATTATTAATATCATTATGATTATTATTATTACTACTATTATAATTATCATTATCATTATTATTAATATTATTACTACTATCATTATCATTATTATTATCATTACTGCTGCTATTAGCATCACCATCATCATCATCATCATTATCATTATCACTATCATCATCAATATCACCATCACAATTATTATCATCATCATTATGATAATCATCGTCATCATCACCACAACCATCATAATCATGATCATCACTCGCATTACCATAATCGCTTGCTGTGTCGATCCCAACTTTCTTTTCGGGTTTCCTTTTGGTCTTCAGAAGAGGAGAAAATGAAAAGAATTAATAAGCAAAGGTCAAGAGAGGGAGAAAAAAGGCTTATAATGAGTAAAGGGACGGAGAGGGGAAGAAAGGGATATTAAGGCTCCTGAAAAGAAGAGAGAAAAGAGGGGGAAATAAGCTCAGAAATATGAGAAGAAGAGCGATGAAATTGCAAGAAGAAGGCGAGACAAAGGGGAAAGGGGGGGAGAGGGGAGAGGAGGAGCGAGATAAGAGGGGAATAAATAAAGAGGCGAAGGGGGTGGAGTATGGTACGTACGAGGAAGAGGCAAAAAAAGAAGGGGTGGAGTAGGATAAGATAACATTAAAGAAAGAGGGAGAGGAAGGTACAGTAAGATAAAAGCAATGAACAAAAAAGAGCAGGGAGGAGCGAGGAAAAAAAGACCGGCAGAGAGAGGGAAAGGAAGAACTGAATGATAAGTGAGGGAAAAGGAAATAGAAGGAAGGATAATAATAACAGAGAAGAGGAGCAGGATAAGAAGGCAAGGGGCGCACAGAAGAAAGACGAGTCCTCCTTAATCTACCGATCTTGAGAGCGGGTTCCTTGGTCGCGCCCGCACGCCCGCACGTCGACGCCGCGTCTCGGTTACGGAAGAGAAGTACGGCGGACAAAAGATAAAGAATGGCATGAAGAGACGCAGACGAAGGAGATGGGGAAGGGGAGAAGGAGGAAGATGAAAGGGAGAACTGTGAGGGATGGAAGGGGGAGGTAAGAAAGGAAAAAAAGACGGGTGAAGGGGGATCGAAGGAAATGGTAGGAAAGAGAGAGAGAGAGAGAGGAGAGAGAGAGAGAGAGAGAGAGAGAGAGAGAGAAGAGAGAGAGAGAGAGAGAGAGAGAGAGAGAGAGAGAGAGAGAGAGAGAGAGAGAGAGAAAGAGAAAAGAGAGAAAAGGTCGAAAACGATAGTTAGCCTGAACCAATATAAACAACAGCTATAGAAACAAGACAGAAAAAAACAGAAAACGAGAAAATGATTACCCACAGAAAGAGAGCAGAACATAAAAACAAAACTCAGTAAAAGAGAATAAGAAAAAAAGTAGGAACTGCCGAAGCAATGCAAGAAGAGAATAAACATGAAATACGCTTCATAGGGGAAAACATAAGAAATAAAAAATCAACAATGAGAAATGATGTTGTGGGAATCGAACTTCGTTACATGCAGGACGGAAATCAAAAGGTGTCAACAGAGCTCGCTTCAGAGGGTCAAGGTCAGGGTCAAGGTCAGGGCGATTATGAGGAGGGAATCTAGCAAGACCTCCACCCCTCACCCCTACCCGGAGACTGAAGAAAGGAAAAAAGGAAAAAGAAAGGAAAATGTGAGGTGTCAAGCCATTTGGAGTTATTGCCAAAACAGAAAAAAAATCTGTTTGATCTAATATACTTTAAAGGAGATGGCAAGAAAAAATGAGGAAGAGAAGAGAGGAATAAAGAGGAAGAGAAAAGAAAAGAAGGGGAAAAAAGATGGCAAAGAAAAAGAGGAAGAGAGAGAGAGAGAGAGAGACAGAGAGAGAGAGAGAGAGAGAGAGAAGAGAGAGAGAGAGAGAGAGAGAGAGAGAGAGAGAGAGAGAGAGAGAGAGAGAGAGGAGAGAGAGAGAGAGAGAGAGAGAGAGAGAGAGAGAGAGAGAGAGAGAGAGAGAGAGAGAGAGAGAGAGAGAGAGAGAGAGAGAGAGAGAGAGAGAGAAAGAAAGAGAGAGAGAGGGTACAGCATGAAATAAAGAAGAAATAGGAAACGAAACATAAATCCGAAGAAAATCAAGGTTAAATAAATCCTTAATCCCGGAACAAATAAATGTGCGTTTGACTTTCCTTCCGAGTCTGAGAGGGTTACGAAGTTTGCACACAATAAGAAAAAAAAACTTCTGCTTCTGGGATTTTAAAGAAAGCTGCAACGTCAAAACAGAGCACAGTGGGGACATTCTCTCCCCCCCTCTTCTATTTTTCCTTTTCTTTCTCTTTCATTAATCTCTCTTTGTGTTTTCTTTCCTATTCTTCAATCTTCCCTTCCTTAGCCTTCTCACTGCCTCCCCACGAGTCCTACGCGGAAACCTTCTCAGCTCATTTCTCTTTTCTTCAAACTTCTATCTAAGTGACCTACAGTAAAACCTAAATCTTCAGCTCACTTTCCTTTCATTTAACTTCCTTCTACTTGAATTAACCTCCAAGAAAAGAAATGAAAAAAAGATAAAATCTTCATCTCTCTCGCCTTTCCTTCGACCTTCTTCTACCCACGCGACCTCCCCGCGATTCCTCTCCCTTCCTATTTTTGTTTTGTTGCTTTGTTAATCTATAAATCCTCGCCTCCGCCCTCTCCCTCCACCCGAGTGTCCTCCAGTCGCGATGGAGGGGTGGACGGGCGGAGATTTGGGTGGTGTGAAATTGGAGTGCAAATGGATTTTTCCCCTCTTCTGGCCGATCTCTCCTCCTCCCTCCTTCTCTCCCTCCCTCCCTCGCTCCCGCTTCCTTCCTTCCTTCCTTCCTTTAAAGCCAGAGAGAAAAAACGATTGTTTTTTTATATTTTTCTTATTCTCTCTTTCACTTCCCACTTTCTCTTGATTTTATTTCAAGGGCTCGAGAGGGGGAAGGTTTTGATTCATCTAAGTGTGTTTCTTTTTTACGGGGGAATAAGTTTTATTCATTAACATGCAAAATCACTTTTTGGAGGGGACTGGCAAACATTGGTCTATCTAATTTCACACAGACACACATACATACATACACACACGCGTGCACACAAACAAACACGCAAGCACACACACAAACACACACAGACACACTCACACACACACACACACTCACACACACACACAAA